TTTATCTCTTTTTGAAATTTAATTGAAATCTTATCCTTAACGTCTCAATGCTGTGCAGGCAACCAATGGAAAGCCTTCCACAGCACCAAATTTTAAAACATTTTTGTATTCGGCAGAAATTCAGTTTCAATAAAATGTGCAGTTTTTGGTTCTACGTTGCTTGGTTTGGTCTTTATCCCCCCCCCTTCCAACGCCCTGTATATGCCAAGTCAGAGTTATCTCTCAATAATTATTAATTATGGGCGTTGATCAACTTAAACTGTTTAACTATGCAATCACGTAAAAAATTTGATTTAATTAATTTACTATTTGCTCTAAAGCACTCGTGAATAGAATATTCTTAATGAGTCACATAGAGGGCTTTGTCTAAGTGCACGCCAGTGTTCATTGTACCATGGCATACTCCTTTCAATTTTTCCTATGCATAAAAAGTTAAAAACATGAGAAGAACAATAATGAGAAAAACACGGGTATGTGCATATTAGTATAAAATTATCTACGCATATCAAACGTAAATCATCTGACCGTGAATAAGTTGTTTTTGTAGTGAACAATATAGTACAATTGAACGATTTTTTTCGTCGTAACTAGGCCGATGAATGATTTTAGTTCAATTTAAAAGGCGAGGTTATCTTTTCAACATGCTTAGTCATTGATAAGTTAACACTCCAGCTCACATCCATAGTATTTTTACAAATACTTTAAACCTTTTAGATATCTTAATTGTATTTTTCTGTTGCGACATACATTATATTAATTTCCAGTAAGTGTTTCTTATTACTAAACATATTAATTCAGTTATAATGTAGTTTACCTCACTACTACTAATTATGCTAGGAATAATATCAGCGCCGTTTTACAATTACTAATTAAGGGGGGTCTTATCTGAGTGACATCAACCTTGATTATGACAGTGATACAGTATAACAAATGCTCTCTCACTCTCTCTCTATTATAACTTCTACTTGCTAATATGTTTTCATTTGTAGGTAAAATTTTACTTTGAAGAATAATGGCTGATGCAAGTTCTGCTAAACCAGCTGCACCATCCACTGATGCAGACCCGTCGGCTAAACCAACTACAGGTCAACCAACTACAGGAGGGAGTTCTGGTGGATTACCACCAGCAGCTCCTGCTGCGCCATCGACTGAAAAAAAGACTCCAGAAACAGATACAAAAGATTCTTCTGAATCGGCGTCAAGTGCAAAACCTGATGATAAAAAAGATTCTCCTCATTCGGCCTCAAGTGCAAAACATGATGATAAAAAAGATCCCAAAAAAACGAAAAAACATGATGATAAAAAAGATGAAAACATATTGGAAAGAGCAGCACATTCAATTCGAGGTAAGATGCATGACGTGAGCGAAGAAGTGAAAGAAAAGGCTCACGGCGGTAAGAAAAATGACAAGGACAAAAAACACGATAAGTTATCAACGAGTTCGAAGATAAAAGGTGCAAGTAAAAAACATTCAGACGATGAAAAAGATGACGAATCGACAAAAATACCGCCTCCACCATCATCTTCAGATAAAAAAGATCCTGGTGGAAAACCACCTGGGCAACCGGATTCAGCGAAGGCAGCGTCCGGACAACCAGATTCAGCGAAGGCAGCGTCCGGACAACCAGATTCAGCGAAGGCAGCGTCCGGACAACCAGATTCAGCGAAGGCAGCGTCTGGACAACCGGATTCAGCGAAGGCAGCGTCTGGACAACCGGATTCAGCGAAGGCAGCGTCTGGACAACCTGATTCAGCGAAGGCAGCGTCTGGACAACCGGATTCAGCGAAGGCAGCGTCTGGACAACCAGATTCAGCGAAGGCAGCGTCTGGACAACCGGATTCAGCGAAACCCCCGTCCACGAACGATAAAAGTGATGCAAAAACTCCACAAGGATCTGGCACTACACCTACGGCAGATAAACCGCCCGATTCAAACAAGCCGCCACCTTCTGATGCAAGTAAAGGTGCAAACCCGTCAAAAGAAGCCCCCCATGATGATCAAATTCATATTTCACTTGAAGGCGTAACAACGGTGGATGAACTACTCGACAGAGTCGATCAAGCTGTCGAATCAGCTCAAATAGTTATCGACACCAAAGGAAGTTCCACACCGATTTCGGTCAGCTCACCACAAGGTGAAAATCAAAATCAACCCGTAACGGTACAACAGGCAGAAGGTAAACGAAATTCAAATACTGATAAGCAATCGGAATCAAATAAAACAACCGAAAGTCAATCTCAAAGTCCACAACAACCTGGTGAAAAGACGGAGTCAAAAGATGATGAAAAAGATACGATCCGTATAAATTTAGCCGATATCAAGTCTGTTGAAGATTTAGTTGCAAAGGTGAATAATAAACCGGGACATATGAAAGTTATCGTAGAAGATAAATCGAATAATCAAGATACGACCACTCTTCCAAAAACGGATAAACAATCATCCGGAGATCCCAATGCAAAACCAGTCGATCAGAGTAATCCGACTCAAGGTAAACCTAATGCTAATCAGACAGACACATCAAAACAAGCATCACAAAGTATATTAAAAACTAGCCAGGATCCGTCATCAATGGATACTTCGATGACAACCAGTTCTATTCCACACGATAAAATACATCTTAACCTTGATGGAGTGAAATCGGTTGATGATTTGCTCGACCGTGTTGATGACGCCGTAGAAAAAGCAAATATTGTCGTTGATAAAAAACCAGTAAATTCACAAAGATCGTCCGATCAAAATAAATCTGGTGAGAATCAACCGCCGGATTCAACATCAACTACACAACCCAAACAAGCCACTCTTGCGCCTTCTAATAATCAACCTCAGAGTGCAACAGATCAGCAAGCTACCCAACCAAAGGCTAATAATAATCAAGGTACTGGAAAACAACCACCACAAAAATCAAGAGCACCGTCGAATCCTCAAGAAAAATCGGGACCGGTAGACAGGGTATGAAATTTACGAAAATAAATCTTCTTACATTTAAGCAAACGAAACTTTTTTTGAAAAGTTTTTCATATTTGACTATCCTCTTTCTTTTTCTGTTAATTTTTTAATAACGCACTTCAAAATTGTAAAAATGATAATTAATTCACTATCTATATAAATTTTCGCAACAATTGAAACTCGATAAGTTCGCAGACAAATCACGTTTCATCGTTCTGGAGATACCATCAGGTAAGCTATAAAATATTCTTAAGAGAGATCTCTCCATAGCAAAATCAGCCCACAGTCACTAGTTAAGGTAAAGAGATATTGCATGTGACTGTTTTCAGAATGTAGCGTATGTATTCTCAAATGGATTCTGATATGTTTTCTAGAAGGTTTACTAAACCCCCTAAAAATACACGATTTTTCCAGAAACTTTAAAGTTACATACAATCGTGCTGAGTTTTTTTTGACAAACTAAATACAGAAACAAGTCTTTTGTTTAAAATGAAAACTTGTGCGGATCAGTAAGACATTTTTCGTAAATTTATGACATTACGTTCTAAAAACGCCTTAACTAATTAAAATAGGGTCTATATTTTTTAATTTGCAGTAGAAAGTATTTCAAATTCTCTTCTACGTTGAATCGTAGAACAATCATTTTCTATGTTCATAAGAGAAAAGAAAATGTTAGGAGTATATTTTTAGATTAGACTCAGGTTTTCCGAAGGCATTCATTTCCACACTTTAGTTAAACAGTTCAGTTTCTAGTTAAATGCACTAAAAAAATATAAATCCATTTCCTACTATTGTCGGCGCCAAAACACCGGAGTTCTAAAATTATTTTGCGATACTATGTACGTTCGTTGAAATTTTTAGCATAATCGAATGTGAAATAAAAAACGGTTTCTCACTGTATTGTGGATAAAAAAGCGAATGGACTCGAGTGTATTTTTGAATAACGTTTGACAAGAAAGAGATAGAGACTTCTGCTTTTCACTAGTT